GCGGTGTTTTAGAGTGCAGCTGACAGTATACGGATAGACCACCGTCAATTTGTCGCAGAACAAGATTGAGTCTAGTCTGAGGTGGGAGTCTTCCACAAATAGATAAAGAATTTTTTAACTTCCCTTTTCCAAATTAACCTTTACGGTTCTATAATCTTCAACAAGTATTCTGCTACGTTTTTCATGAAGAACTATGTCATAAATGTTGAGTAATTTGGTATAAAGGATCCAAGGCCCATGTTTTAGATGTCGGATTGATCGATCAACTTTACTCATTTTTGCTGTCTTCTCCCTATCTAAAGAGTACTGTTCGACCATTTGTCTGAGAGCAATCTGGGTCTTTTATTGTCTGGTACTTCAGTGTCTTCAAGTTTCGTGATTCTGAATGAAGATGGTAGCAATTTAGGGAGCTGGGAAAAGCTACGTGTTTTGTATGTTCAGTTGAGTTGCTTTGGACCTTCTGGTTCTTGAACCTCTTATTGACAGTTGCACCGCTATTGGGATGGTTGCCCAACATCTTATTGCAGGCTTGAGGCCCAAAGCTAAGTCCAAGTCCAAGTGCCCAGCATATCTCAGTGGAAGACCATGATGTAGAAAAATCTTCCCAGGCTTTAGAAGATCTGTCTCTATTCAGCATCCAACAAGCAACCAAATTTGGTAAGGTGATGCAAGATGCTTTGGTTAAGATGGTTTGGTTAATTCCTTAATGAGCCTGGAAAGTATGTAATTGAGGAAAAGGAAGTCAATATATTTAAAGCTAGCTCCCTTAAGTGCATCACAAGTTGTGCAGCTATCATATTCTTTGATGAAGATCTATAGTTAGGCTCGAAGCCACATAATAAACCCTTTTTTTGTCTTTGGTTACATGAAAGAGCAAATGGTGAATTGTATCTTGGTGGATGACAAGTTTGCAAACAACATCCTACCAAAAGCAGTCATGAAGAAATCAGGGATCTCTATGGAAAGACTACAAAATAGTTGGCTAGTTAGTTAAGGCTTTAACCAAGGCGGGTAAAAAACCATCGAAATGATTAGCTTAGAGTTGACAATTGATGAGTTGAAGTCAAGTGTGTTATTTCATGTCATTGATGCCAAGACTTTGTACAATTTGTTGCTAGGACGTCCTTGGATTCACAACAATGGTGTTGTGCCATCTACTTTGCACCAATGTTTGATGCTATACATTTCATGAAAGTAAAATCTCACTTTGCTTATGCAAAACTTTGCTCTAAGTTAGAAAATATGATAAAAGTCCTTCTAATAGAAATTCCCTATAT